AGCGCGTGGCAATCATGATACACCTGTTTAGGGTTTAGGGTTTAGGAGTTTGGGGGTTTAGGAGTTTAGGGGTTTAGGGGTTTAGGGTTTAGGGTTTAGGGGTTTAGGGTTTAGGAGTTTAGGATTTAGGGGTCTCGAACAATTGAAGGAAGAAAGCTGCCGGTCAGAGGTTTTGGGGTTCAGCAGTTTGGGGCTTGATGCTAGGCACCAAACGAATGCAGAAACAAATGCTACTCCAGAACCGAGAGGCCTTTCTGACACTGTTCAGGTAAGTGACTTCGAAGTCTTTCCAATCTTTCATATCTGGGGGCATGGTCCAGCGGTTGCTCCAGTCCCCGTCGCCGAGGATCTGGAAGGGATGAGAGAGTCTCGAAGCAAGCATTTCTGTGAGAATTTCGGGCTTCGGATTCTGAGTTTAGCAAGTTTGTTGGATTGACGCACATATGGTGGCCTCTATCGTTACAAAAAGGCCACACCGGTATCGCCGGGCCACTTGCGTGCAAGAGTCTTGTGGCATGAGCTACCTGGGACCAAGCGGTTCGCCCTCCGTCGGCTGTAGTCCACGCTGACTTTGAAGCAAAGTTCATCATGCCAAAGTCCAGTATTCTGGTACTTTGGTACTCCAGTACTTAGTGCTTTATTTCTCGGCCATGCCATGATTCCCCAGTACTCTGTGCATTCTACACATACCGTCATGCGATCTGGTGATGCCATGGCGATATGACGATATGAACATGAACTCGCCTTCTTGCATGTGGTTCTGATGCTGTAGGTATCAACTTGCATTTACCATCCCCTTATTGTAGCTGTCAGGCTTTCGCCCTAGGCCCGAAGCCGTGCAATCCTGCAACGCTGCCTCCACCCGGAAGCCCTCGGTCATTAGCTCGTAACACGCTCCGGCCTGACATCCTGACACCGAAGCTCAAGCCCCTGAATCCGTGAACCCCAACTCTGGAGCCCCCCAAAGAGACCACAGGATGGAGGGAGTATGGTTCATGACACCCTCGCTCGGCAACAGCAGGATTACAGATGACTTTCGATGAGCACCTCAGCATCAGTGGCAGGGACGAACGGAGGTGCAGGTCATCCCGGCAGTGAGGCCACCCGGAAGCCGGCAACCACGGTATCAACAAGTACAACATGTGCATCAGCAAACCTACGGGCGATGAGGCTGCAGCTGACTTCCTGGCTCGACAAGGCTTTGATGTGCCGCGCGATGCTTGTATGGCAGTCGCTGACAAGCTACGCGCGTGTCAACTTGCCACAGGGGAGCGGCGCGATGTTGGGCATGTAGGCCAACTCGCACTCTGCGGGGCGTCTTATGTGTACTCGTGTGACTCAAACTGTGTTCGAGATTGCGAGAAGGATTCAGAAAGAGACAACGCGATAAAGAAAGGCTCTTGCGAGTAACATGTACAGATGGCCTCGAAGCTAAAGAACATGCAAGCAAGGGCTGACGATTGGCTGTTGTGCCCTGCGATTCTCAAGATTGCGTTGGCTACCACCCGCTGCCTTCATGTCACGACTCTCAGCAAAAAAACTCACAGCTTCAGCCGACAAATCGTAACCCTCCCAACCTTAAACCCCTCAACCCTAATAAAACCCCACTACTCCCCAAACATAACCAAACCCTGAAACCCCCGAAGCCCGAAACCCGAAACCGCCAAACCCTAAACCCGCAAACCCTAAACTCGCAAACCCTAAAACCCGAAACCCTAAAACCCTAAAACCCTAAAACCGCAAACCTTAAAGCCCCGAAACCCTAAACCCCTAAAGCCCTAAAACCCTGAAGCCCGAAAACCCTAAAGCCCGAAACAAACCTCAACCGAGCCGACCTCCGCCTTCCTTGGGTCGGCTTCTCGCAGCTTTCGCGGAGACCTCTTCCCACAAATCGAGGCATTGTGCCTCGGTCTAGGGTTTAGGGCTTTAGGGCTTCAAGGTTTTAGGGTTGAGGGTTTAGGGTTTAGGGCTTTAGGGTTTTAGGGTTGAGGGTTTAGGGTTAAGGGGTTAGGGGCTTAGGGTTAGGGGCTTAGGGTGTAGGCTTGCTGTTTAGGGGTTTAGGCTTGAGGGTCTAGGGTTGAATGTCTCGGGTCTAGGGTTTAGGGTCTTGGGTGTAGGGGTTTAGGGTTTCGGTTGTAAAGATATGTATTGCATTATCTATGGGGAGTTCGAGACGGCCATACAGGGTGTAGCGGGGTGCATGGGTTTTCATGCAGGCCTCGGCTGGTTTGGCGGGGTTTAATAATGTTCTGCAAAGCTCGACAGCTGTGAGGTCTGACGCGCTGCTTGGGACTAGGGGAACCTGCTCAAAAACAGGTGTGCATAAATGTATCTAACATTATGTACGCATGTGTATGTACGTCATTGTGTATATATAGAAACATATGTATGCATATATACATATATGCATGTAGGGGCATAAGCACATACAGACACATACGTACGTACGTACGTACGTACGTACATACATGCCTGCATGCATGCATGCATACATGCATACATGCATACATGCATACATGCATACATGCACACATGACATCTCATTACATTACAAAACAATACATTACATTACATCACATTACATTACATTACATTACATTACATTACATTACATTACATTACATGACATTACATTACAGTGCAGTGCAGTACAGTACAGTACAGTACAGTACAGTACAGTACGGTACATACATACATACATTCATTCATACATACAGGGTGATGGCTTTTTCAGGCGCCATGGTTCAACACATGGAACGGCGTTATCAAGCACTTGCGACGGATTGATCGAAAACAGGTCATGATTATCAAGCACGAGGCACGGCCCTTTTCAGGCACATGGACAAGATTTTTCACACATGTGCAGCGGATTCCCTAAACCCTATGTACCCTAAACCGTGAACAAAACCTGCACATGCGAATGAGAATTCCAGCGCATGTTCTTGATAATTCACGCGCATCTCTTTGATGAATCGAGCGCTTGTCTCTGATAAAACTGGCCATTTTTCCCGAACCGTAGCGCAATGAAAACTCAAGAATTTTGAAAAAGACAGCTCCCCATACATACATATACTGATACATGCATACATACATCAATATTTTTACATACAAATGCATTACAGGATTACAAGTTGTGATGGTTTTAACTACATGTGACTGGTATGACCCATGGACGAAGAAAAGCAGGCCCCTGACCCCCCTCGTAGATTGCTCATTTTCAACACCTAGCGGAGCCCAATCAGGCAACTGAGCTGTTGAAAGCTTGGTACACTTCTCGATCTGCTAGGGTTTAGGGTTAAGCGATCCAAGCGCAGATGCTACAGTACTTCAGGAATGCAAGAAAGCTACTAAGCAAGGCATCCAAATCCGCCGTGGGATAAAGCTACCCAAAAGCTCCACTGTGATTATGCCCTCGGACTCTACTGGGAGTGCCCAAGTGCAGGCCCTCACCACGGCTAGTGAACTGTCCAGCAGAGGCGCCGGGTGAAAGAGGTGAAGCTCATGCCAGGCTCAAAGTGGCGGAGACTGATTTTCAGTTCAGCAGAAACTCCCGGTATGTTCCTCCACGCCAGGCTCTCCTTGGCCGTGATGCCATGCACCAGCCAGGCCATCAGGTAGCCGCTCAGCGGCAACACCTTTTCGGGGTCATCACATTGGCTCGAGAATGGGACTAATACATCACGATAGTATAGGGGTCTTAGTAATTAGAATAGGGTTCGGAGGTATAGTGCAACATACTTATTTCTAATCAGGAACCCCACGCTAGCGTTGGTAATTAAGGACATTCTGTTCGTTTTGCTTGGGTCTTATGCCCGGCAACTCCCACTGTGGTGCGGCGTGCACTCTCGTTAAAGTCACATCATCTCCGCAATCTCCAACTGGGCCAACTCATTGATACAATAGAAGGATGTGCTGTAATATATTGGAGTACTATTCTGGCCTCATATTGTCTTCGAAACACTCGAAATGTTTAAGAATCCGGGCAGGCGCAAATGCGTGCGGCTCTTCGTGCTCGTCCGCGTCGTCTTCAAATCCCACCAGTACATGCGGTTGATCTAAGGGCCTTAATCATTATACCAATATATACTATTTTGGGGGTTCCTCATAATAACTTTATGACATACCCCAAGCCCTATATGCTAATTATTAATGCCCCTACATTGATATCATTTCCTAAGCCCGCCCCTTAGGCAATTGTGGGTTGCTCACAGCTCTTAAACTTGGCCCCTCGATAGGCGAGAGCGGTTGATCACGTGTCGTAAACTCGCCCCCTAATGGTCGCTGGCCGCTAGTCAAAGTTCCCCAGCCCACCCTCTCATTTCGTACACCCGCCGCATTAGGCGATGGTACTTGATCACATGTCTTCGACCCGCCCTTCGCCGGCATGCGGTAGTTCCTAGCAAGCTTTGCAAGGCTTGGAAGATTGCAGAGAAGGAGGGTACCGGGTTAGACGATGCCAGTTGATCGTGATTCCTAAAACCGCCCCCTTAGGCTAATCACATTTCTTAAATCCGCCTCTTCATCAGGCGATGGTGGTTGGAAAACTAGACCCTGAAACACAATGGATCTCGATATGAGATCACAGTGTCGGTTCAGGTCTTCATGGACCGATGGAGTTTACTAGTTCACCTAGGCAGATCTACTATACAAACATTCATTTATCATGCCAGGAAGCATGGTACAGCACAACTTTGTCCTCGTTTTGCTCCTCGACCTCTTTAACAGCGGCCCGCAACTGGTCGTTGCCGTGCTGCATAAACAGTTTCTTCCTCTGTGCATCCTTGACATATGCCTGGGTTCTGGAGCAGGCGCGCTGCATAACTACCACGTTAGAAACAAACTCGGACGCAAAGAAAAACAGTGCTTCACAACCCGAAGGCATCAAAGCGCTCCGCCGAAACTACGGCGAAAGTCAGTGAGAGCAGAAACCACAGAGCCATGGCGCGGGCTATCACCCTGCATCCCAGAGTTTACACTGCGGATTTGCAAGAAAGAACACACATTCTAGAATCCAGAAATCAGTAATCGGCCACATGAACCCCTAAAAAAAGCTTGTCAATACCTGGGCCCTGTTATAAATGATAAGACTCCAGAAACCTACGACGTAGTTAGGCCCAGACTCATGCATCTTGAACCCAAACACCCTCAAGAAATCCGTCGTCTATTCGGGTAAATATACAAGAAGAGCCTAAACCCTAAACCCTGAACCCTAAAAGTCTTGAGTTTCAGACTTTCAGTTCCCATAGATCAGCACTTGGTGTTTCAACTATCAGGCTGGCGCCTAACAGGTGCTGTCGATACTGACTGCCTTCATGATACCGCTCTTGTAATCAAAAAGCACTAGTACCAGGTGCTAGTACTAGTGCTAGTAGTAGCAGTAGTAGTAGTAGTAGTAGTAGTAGTAGCAGTAATGGTAGTAGTAGCCCCCCCGACCAACCACCTCTGCTACAAAACCTCTTAAGGGCACATCCGTTTTACTCGGTATTTACGGTACGTTCGTCGTGTCATACCACTTCTTCTTGCCTCAAAATCCACTCTTTGACTTTGACAGAATCGGCTTCGGATTGGCGTTGGGGGGGGGTATTGACGTACAGGCAGCCCGAGACGGCGAAAGAGTCGTTTTACTCGGTATTATAGTAACTTCGCGATGTCGGACCATCGTATATAGTCACCAAACCTTCTTCTGGACTTTGCGGACTTGACCTTGGGATTTCGGACGGCTTCCGGCGAAAATTCGAAATTGGGTGGGGGGGGAAGCCTTTCGGGGATGATCACGACACTGTTTCGCCGACACCCCGAACAATATCTCCGCACCCTAGCGCGCACACACCACACACGACTTCAAAAGCAAACCCTCCTATGCCGAGGTCTGGGCTTTACGGGTGTTGGCGAGCCCCTGCCTTGTACACCTGGCATCTTTTTCTCTGATGTTTATAAGATATTGCGCTGTAAGTTTTAGGAGTGTTAAAACCTTCTTGGCAGCACCTGCATTTTGCACGGTATTTACAGCGTTTTCGTACTATCCGACCACCTTTTGTTTAGCAGCTTCTTCCCGGTCGAATTCGCAACTCCAGCTGCTGTCGCAGTTTTGGGGCCTGTGCCTCTGCAACTTCACCGGCAGGAACATGAGCCTCTGAAGCTGCCACTGCCCAGCCCGGATGGAGCAAGTGGTGCGGTGGGGAGGAGGGGGGGGGGGCGGGGGTGGCTGCCAGTAGTAGCAGTAGTAGTAGTAGTAGTAGTAGTAGTAGTAGTAGTTGTTGTTGTTGCTCTAACAATCATAGTAATACAAATAGAAAATTATTCCTCTTCATTTGTTTCCTAGTCGTTTCGTAGTCTTTGCCGTCCACACCGCTTTGGACCATCATCACCACCATCATCATGCTCACTACTGCTGATGGACAAAATCCTGCCTGACCCAAATATAGTATAGTACCATAAATCCCATAGTTTAGGTATATAAGGTCATGCAGGATTTTCTCCATCAACCGTATAACCATCATCATCATCACCTTTCCGCTCGTCTTCTATATCCACAATACAATCACGCAGTGAGAGCATATAGGCGACGCTAGAGAAAGCAGCAAACCGAACAAAGAGTTTTCAAAGGGTTCATGGGGTTCTAACAGGTTCTACAAACAAGGGCTTTGGATTTATGATATTCGAACTAATGGCTAATGACAGCTGCCACCCAGGAAGACTCTAGCAACTAGAGGATCAGAGGTTCTGACCCAGAGAGCCCAATACCCCTTAATTAAGGAATATAGCTTAAATCATAATACAGAACCAAAAAGACAGTGCGAGATCAGGCAGTGAGCGCCGAAACGGTGCCGTGGCCCTTGCATCCGGGTATACCACACCGAGCAAAAATCCTGTTCTGCTTCTGGCGCGCGGGATATGCTGTTGATGTTGATGGTTATCCTGAAAGGGTTTAAGGAATATAGCTTAAACCCCTTATAATTTAAGGTATATTCCTTAATTAAGGAGTACTGGGCTCTCTGGGGACTTTGAAGCTTCGGACTCCCAAGGCACAAACTAAAGAGGAACGAAGCGTGTGACGGCGCGGCCCCAGCCGTCCCAGTCTCATTTTTCCCGCGCAACCTATTCCAGGTGAAGCAGGGCAAACTCTCGCTTACCCGCTTCGTCTTAATGTAGGGGCCTTAAGAGTTAGAATAGGGTTTTGGAGGCTCCTTATTATGGTTATAGTAAAGCATACCCCCAAACCCTGTTCCAATTTTTAAGGCCCCTATATTAGGCCCGCAATGGATGCTCGGGAAGCTCCACATCTGTCATTGCTGCGGTCGTGGCCCTGAGGTGGTGGCGCCTGTACCCAAGGCAGCCCATCAGCAGTCCAAGGCACAGCACCGGCACGACAACTTTGAGGACCCAGGAAGGCCATGGTGAGCTGTCGTCTGTCTTCGGGTCGTCTGTCTTCGGGTTCAGCACGCAGTTCCGGATGTCCTCTAGGACGCTCGCGGCGAACTCCATAAACTCCGGGTCTGCAAAGGCCATGGAGGTGGCAATGATCTTCACGGACTCTGGGTCGGAGGGCGAAAGACCCCAGTCCCGCTTCAAGAGCAGGCGTGCCGTGACCTTGTCACCTTGCGCCGTGTTCTTCAGCAATTTGTAGGCATCCATGAAACTCTTGTCCTTCCAATCCTCATGCTCGTGGCCGGCTCGCTGCCATGGCTCAGGCGTCCCGGGTGGCCGACGCCTCGGGAACTTCGGTTGCCAGTCCGTACTGACGTAGGCCAGGTCATTGGCCACGTCCGTCGGTAGCACCACTTGCAAGAGAACCCTGGCGAAGCCTCGGGGAGTGTTGTCAGATCGTTCCGACTTAAGCCTTTGCTCTTGTGCTCATGTCTTGAACCTCACTTACCTACTGGACACCGAGACTCAAGCCAAGCCTCCGTCGGAAGGATCTAGAAAGTTGGTTGGAACGACAAGAGCCATGCCAAATTGAATCCCTCCACCGCACTCCCAAACACATGCTCCTGTCATGGCTCTTTCATACATATAACATTCATAATACAGTACCATTCAGTTGATTAGTTTGCGCTATGCACTTTCGAACTAAGTACTTGTAATCTCATGGAGTTGATGAGTTTATGCTATAACTGCGCAACTTCGAACGAAGTACTTCAGTGGTCAACCTAAACCTTAAACCTTGCGCGCCGCAGTTGGGGTCCTTCAACCGTGGAAGAATCCGAATTCTTCCGAATCTGCTGTTTCCACTGTCGTGCTGCAGTAACAAACTTGTGCATAAGTCCCAGAAGTCGGGATGTGAGGGGGGGCTTTAAGAAGCTTTGGGCACTTTGCATGTCTTGGACCTGGCATGTGTTGCCAGTTGGTCTCACACTCTGCCGAGCATGTTCGGGTACAACTACTAAGTCGACACACAAACGTGCGGATTTGCATTCTCCGGTTCTGGCTTAGCCGTTTGATTCGACTCGCAATGAGTGGCATATGCGTTGTCTTGGGATGGGTACATCTTTATACTACCGTATGCATATCAGAAAGCCACATCCTAAGGCCTAAGCCCTCAACCCTAGGTCTGCTCTATCTACGCCTACCCAGCTGCTGACAAAGAAGCCGCGCGTCTCTTCTGCGGTCGGCAGGCCACCATTTTGGAGGGCGGTAGCCGCAGCCTGTCTTGCTGTTCAGAGTAGGGAAGGGTTGAGGAGGGTGAAACCAAAACCCTGAACCCCTAAACCCTAAACCCTAAACCCTAGACCCTAAACCCGAAGCCCCAAGCCCCTAAA